TTACAGGCAACTGGGAGAAGTTAAGGGCTGACACACTGTATCCATCCTCACTGGATGATGAAGGACATCAATTAATATGTAACAAAAAGTTCTATAGTAAAAGCCCAAGAGTCCACAGTCAATATGCAAAACCTCGACCTTGCTAAAATGAAATCCTAGGTTTCACTGGCTTGGTCTGCTTTTGCTTTTCTGTCAGTAAACAGATCGGTAATGCTAGACACCTAGACAACGTCTAAATATTTCTCCATTCACTGTTTTCACTGCTTGCTGCGGCTTGTTCTAGTTCAGTTCTTGGATTTTTTAAAAAAATGGTTATACATTCATAGCTAACTACTCATTTTAAAAGATAAAAATATAAGAATAAGGACAGGAAGAAATCCAACTAATGACTTTAAAAAAAAAAAGCAAGATAAGACATAGCTTCCTTCAACTCTCATACCACAAAAAAGAATTTTTATGGGGAAATGGAGAGAGATGAATATAAATTCAGAATCAATAAATTAAATTACTATCTTCCCATTATGTCACCTATAAAAACAAAAATGTTTCCATTTTACATAGTGCATCTTATTCTACCAATTAAAAGATTTTTTTAAAAAAGTATTAAGTCGAGGCACCAGTGGTTAAGGTCGAAGCTGGACATCTTTAGCAGGTTCTTCAGGGGATAAAAATCGTGCATGGAGACGATGAAGCTTTTCATCTAAGTCAGGCTCTTTTTCTATTTCTTCTTGATTATACCGCACAGCTATAAAACAAAGATTAAAATTCATGAACTTGGTTTCTACAAATTGCTCTCTATGGAAAATAGATTTCTGACTCTTTTGCTGGCTATTCTATTGTAAAAATAACATGATTAAAAATAGCAAGTTATTCCTTAAAGTTTTCTTCATGTGAAGAATAGATTTGTATTTAAGTCTACAGAGTAATACAAATCTGTTCAGCTAACATTAAAACAGTACTGTTGCAAACAAATTTTGACCAAAAGTAAGTTTAAAGGATTTTGTACGACTTCTAAACTACAATATTCTTTATATGAGAGTTAAATATCCTAGATAATATTTTAATTACATATACTTAAGTATATTACATAGAACATGTATGCACTTTATAAAAGCTGATAAGCAAAACAAAATCCTAGATTACTAATATTGTTATTATTGTTGATTGCCTTAGAGTTGAGCATGACTCATAGAGACACTATGAACAAAAGGCCTGAAGCCCCTCTACAACTATTGACATTATCATAGCTCATAAAGTTTCCAGAGGGATATTGTTTAGGAAGTGAATGTAGATTACTAATATATAACTATAATATATAACCCTAATTTATCTAAATCGAAGATTTAAGAGAAGTATGAAGTAATATGGTATAAATTAGACATGAGGCCAATACTTTATGACAGGGCTGGAAAGAATACTACTAGGAATTTTCTCAACAAATATTTATTCATAAATGCCCAGGACTTACTTGTATTCTTTAAGGGTATAAATAATTTTAGGTTAATGCTTATATTATAAATAAATAAATATATAATATATGTGTGTATATATTACACATAAACATAATGTGTGTGTGTGTGTGTTTGTGTGTGTGTATAATATATAAATTGGCTGGGTGCAGGCCAAGAAGCATTTCAAGAAAATATTCTTCTCCAATAGCTTCTGTTTTAATACCAATACATAAGCTAAGAAAAATTTACCCTGGGAGAATTCCTGACTTAATCAGTTTCTAGTCACAAATAGAAGTCATCAACAAAAGGTATTACCAGACAGTTTCCTACACTTTGGATGACGGAGATGGGAATTCTCCATCTCTAAAGAAATAACAATATTACTATGTTGAATGCTTGATGTTGTGTTATTAAGCAGGACTTTTCTAGATAGTTGTATCTTATTTTGAGATAAGTGATTTAAGAATAAATCTGATGTTTAGAGGAGTATGCAATGATTCTTTTTTAAACTGTAATTTTTAAAACGTTCTTAGACTTAAGAGAAACAAAATTACAAGGTGTTATGTTAGATAATTCACTCAACAGCTTTAAACATACATTCTTGTGCTATGGAGGTTGGAAAGTCAAACATTGTATATCCCAACCACCCTTGTAGCTAGGGGTCCAGACATGATTGGTCCCATCCATCTGATGCACTCACTTGAATTTTTTACTCAGTTTCGAGTTACATGGGGAGAGAAGCTGAACATGAGGTATCCAATGTTGCTGGCACAAAGGGTGGCAGAGGTGCTGTGGTTCTGGTGCAGGTAGTTGTTCACCTCTTAATCCAACAGGCAGCTTCCTGATCTGGAAGGCAGCTTCTTAATCCACAAACAGCAGTTCCTTTTGCAGTCCATTCTTGCTCACGTGGTCCCTAGAAGCTCAGCTTAGATTTGCTTCACCAGACCTCTCAAAGATTCCACGACCCCTATACCCCTTCATAAATCCCTTTATGTTTCTATAGCTAAAAATTATTTCATTGTCTACAACCAAAAATCTTGGCCTACACAGAATTTTGGGGAACTAGACGCAGGGTAGAGAGCAAGTGAAAGAATCTTAATTATGAAATTGGCTTAGTTGGGAGGTAGGTTTTGAGTGGTAAGATCTCATGTTAACTAACAATAAGAGGTTAGAGAAAGTAGTGAAAGAACTTCAGAATGCTAGCCTATGTCAGTTGTTCCTTGTCTTTTTCAAAGTCCTACAGAAGAGATGTGACTTAGACTACCTTAACAAGTCTGAAGAAATACAAGAGAATATAGCTTTTTAAATGACATTGTTTTCTGTTTACAATATAAATAGACAGAACTTGGAACCCTGAAAAACTAAAAATATTTACAAATTCTATACTTCAGGTTTTACAAGGCGCTGAGAAAGCAGTGTTAGCAGCAGCAGCTGAAACTTTTTTTCCCCAAGAATCTTCCTTTAAAGATTTTGCTGCCAAGAGTAAGAGCCATTCTAGGGAAAAGGATCCAATTAAGACTGTGGCCATCTCAGCCAATCCAAGCCAAACCTAGGGATGGCCAAAAAGACCCCAAAGGCCCCAGAAATTGAGAGCTAAGAAGTCCACCCGTGGGCATAGCTGAGAAACGGTCCTGACCAAAGACCTTTATCTTGAGGCATTTTTGAGCCTGAATTATAACCTGTTAACTTCCCAGATAGACCTTACAACTGTGTGGGAAAAAATATAAGAAAGTGCTTTCAGGTTGATATCATCCATTTACGATCCAGTGAGATGGGGAGAACAGAGAGGCTGGCAAGTACAAGAAGAGGTTCCCCAGTGTTGAAAGCTGTGTCTTGGCAAGATATTTAACTAGGACTGAAGAAAACAAACTAGAAACTTACTGGTTTTAGAAGTTATTTTTCAACAAATAAAAACCTTGAAGCTGAACTGCAACACTTTGTGACTGTTAACTATCTCAAATAACTCCTGAGTCCTCAGGTCCCATAAACAGGAAGTGAACTGCTAAAGCAATACAACTTCCAAGACAAACTTTCTACTGAAAATTAATGAACCATAAAAAGCTCCTCCAGAATAAAGCCAAGGACTCCGAAGACCATTAGATAAGGATATTCTTCCAAGAAAGATGAATTCAAATATCCTGGGTAAGCCAAGGATCATATAATGGAAAGAGCAAAAAAGTCCTTGCTATTTTTGCCAAGTTGCTATGAATCAGTGATGGCTGTATTTCCTATTCTTTCTTTTTCTAAAAGATAGATTATAATGCAATTACCATAGATATACTATCATTATGCAAATAGCATATGGTGTTGTTGAAAAAGGTATATTGCCTTTGTAGATGGCCGAAAAACAAGGAAACACATGTTAACAAGATGGCGGAGACTCCTCCCCAGACAGCACTGTCTGTGAGCAATATGTAAGAATAAACCAGATTTGGGGAAAAGAGAGTGAAACAAGTATTATCTGTGTTTCAGAAGAATATACCCAGCAATTGAAGTAGCCAACACGGCTGATTTGGGTTCAAAATGAAAGATGCTAATAAAAAAAAAGAAAGATGCTAATCAAACTTTCCTTTTTCTCTTACGATTTACAAAAGCCAAAACGAATCCTGGTAACACAAATGGTTAAGTACTTAGCTGCTAAGCAAGGTTGCTAGTTCAAACCCTCTCAGCAGCTGTTAGCAAGAAAGATGTGGTAATTTGTTTCCAGAAAAGTTACAGCCAAGAACAATGAAAGAATCTTTTTAAAGACAAAAGCGAACTTGTGGGGAAGGGGGCAGGAGGAAAATGTGCAACAATGAATGAATGGATATCCAAGATTTTTATAAACTTTCATGAAAATATCAATTTAAAAATAAAATAAACAAACAAAAAGTTACAGCCAAGAAAACTCTTGGGCACTTCTACTCTGTCATATGCATTCATTATGAGTTAAAATTGACCCAGGCACCTAACAACATTCAGCTGGTCTTATATTTCTCAGCTTCTCCTGAAGTCAGGTGAGGCCATGTCTCTCAGCTTTGGCCAATGAGTTCAGGTGTTGCACAATTTGAGAAAGTACTTAATGAAAGATGTTTCAACTTGGGAAACCCCCTCTGCTGGTCTTCCCCACTAGCTCCAGAAGCAACCTTGGACACTAATGTACTTTAAGAATAAAAAACACGGACTAAGGATAGCAGAGTAGAAAAATAGGAATGTAGTTACCACCTACTTCCAGATTTCTTTTACGTAAGAGTGGAAACCTCCCATTCAGTTAAGTCATTATTTGATGTTCATGTTATATATATAAATAAACCTCATCTTAAATCATAAAGTAAAAATGTTAACAAAAAACCAATTAGTAAGGTCACTTAGTTCAATCTCTAAAGGAGAGCAAAGCAAAGGAAGGGAGGTGTAAAAGTGAGAGCTAATACTGAGTTAGTTTTCATCCTTCCAATAGACTTTATAGAGTTTTATACTTTATAGAATTCTAATAGACTTTAATCTTTAAGTCTCTGCATTCAAAAGAAAAGTGTTTTAATATTAAAAGTATCTTTCTTTATTCCAAATATATTTTAAGATATTTATTGAGCAGAGAAAAGGGAAGAAGAGAGGTAAAAAGATGAAACATGATGAGTTAACCGTTTTCTTCCAGGTTCTGGTGGACTTCAGACTTTAAATGGCTGTGTCAAAAAAAAATATGCTCTTATTTTAAAGGTATTTTCCTTATTTTTAATATTCTTTTATCTATAGATAAATATTTTTCAATTTGCTTGGCTAATCATAGTTTAGCATTTTAAAAATTATCTAGTAACATTAAAACATTTGATTAGAAAGAATTGTGAATAATGCTGAAATAAAACATTCACCACAAATAGGTTCATTAAATTATATAGCATTGGAAATGTAGTGATGCATAAATATTTTAGAGGCTTTTTCATTGTTTGGTAGTATAAATCTACAAATATATTAAAATTAACATAAATTTTATTATTTCAAATTATATTTGTAATAAATAAATGTGCAGGTGTGTGTATCCCGTTGAGTCAGAACCAACCCTTGAGAGGGTTTTCAGAGGCAGTAAATCACACAGATGGAGACTGCTCATCCTTCTCTTATGGAGCAGCTGGTGGGGTTGAACTGTGTGCCTTTGGGGTTGCAGAGCAGCTTCTTACCATTAGGCCACCAGAGCCCCCAAATATTAATATTTGTAATAAATAAATGTAAAGAAATAAATCCATTTATTCAATTATAATGTCCTGAGATAAATAAGGAAACAAAATTACATACGTGGCTGGAATTTCAATTCTCCAGCTGGTCCTGATGGGGGAATTCCTTGCTGTAACTTTTTTTGTTCCATTTGCTGTGCAACCTAGTAAAGGGAAACATAAAGCATCAAAAATAAGTACTTCTAAGACTTTTAACTAAGCACAAGAAAGTAACTTAAAACTGTTTCCCAAAATGAAAATTTTAAAACATTTAGATCAATATATTACATAGCAGCTTTAAAAACACTAAACTTTAATATATGTAGTCCATAGGGAGTTATGCACCAATCCAAAGGTGGCTTTGGTTCAAGTCCACCAGTGGCTCTGGGACTCCCGTTAAGATTTACAGTCTTGGAAATCTGGCAGATCAGCTATGAGAAGGTTCTGACTTGACAGAAATGAGTTGAAAAGTACTTTGTAATATTAACATTACAAAAATTCCAGCTTTCAGTAAAACACATAAAATGCTTTATAATGTGATCCATCTTTTTACAAAACACCACCTGATAATATTCCCTCTTCTGAGCCTCAAGTTGGTCGTGCTGACGTTGTAGCTCTTCTTTTTGTTTTTGAAGCTCTTCTGCTTTCTTCTTAAGTTCATTTTCTTGCAAAGATATTTGATTTTCATATTCTTTCAATTCTTCTTCTGTGAAGAACTGTTGCTGATCCAATGTCTAAAAGGAAAAAAAAATGAAAAGAAATGCTCTCAGAAATACAAAAAGAAGGTAGGAAATGAATGAATGAAAACCCAAAATCTCTGTAAATGTTCATTAAAACTAATAAAATAAAAAAAAATAAATAAATTAAAATAAAAAGTAAGTCTTCAAAACATGAGTGGAACATGTCAGAAGTATATAAAAGCCAGTGTAAAGAAAATCACTAGCCAAAACTGGACAAGCTAAGGACCAAAATAAGATTAGAGGCTTTTTAATAAAACAAGAAGTCATGAGCCCACACTGATATTAGGAGGTATTAGAGGAGAATGATAGAGATGAATGAGAACAAAAGGAAAGGAAGAAGGAAAAGGGTGAGAAAAGAATCCCATCCTTTTACTTTTAGAGTTGAAAGACACCTCATAAATTCCAAAGGCATAATGTGAATAGAAAGTCACCATTTGTCAACTGTCATAATGACTGACTCAAAATTATCAATGTTGTTGTTGTGTTATGTGCTGTTGAGTCACCACTGGGTCAATTGGCAGCATCAATATGGATGGTGAAAAGATTGAGATAGTTAACAGTTTTCGTTTACTTGGCGCCACAGTCAACACTCTTGATAACAGCAGCCAGGAAATCCAGAGACGAATTGCATTGGGAAAGTCAGCTGTGAGGGACCTCGCAAGAGTACTGAAGAGCAACGACATCAGGCTGGAGACTAAGGTGTGCCTGATCCAGGCTATAGTCTACACAATTAAGTGCTATGCATTGGAGAGTTGGACAGTGACTAGGGATGATAGAAAGAGAATTGATGCCTTTGATCTGTGGTGCTGGAGAAGAGTGTTGAATGTACCATGGACTGCTAGGAGAACAAACAGGTTTGTCCTGGAGAGGGTGAAGCCAG